TGAGGCAATGAGGGAAGGAGGAATGTTGAGAGGATGGAGTGTGTGTGTGTGTGTGTGTGTGTGTGAGAGAGAGAGAGAGAGAGAGAGAGAGAGAGAGAGAGAAAGAGAGAGAGAGAGAGAGTACATGTAACTCATCTTTAAAATGGCAGACTGCGCTTGTTTGAATACCGGTACTAGAAATGTGTTTGTGCAATTAGTTGAAAATAAAAGTAGGCCTCTAGTTACTTCAAGCAACATAGAACGGTAGGCCTTCTTGTATTGTCTCGAGCGTTTAATTTTCTAGAACTAATGTAATCCCGAGCAAGATGCACAAGCGCACGGACTGTACAAAGAGATACTGGCGTCTATAATGTTGTAGATATGCATTTCGCCGTTGCACAAAGAAGACATGAGTTCGATTCCAGAGTGGGGGACATTCTTAATGAGTATCTCGGTCTTTCAGATGGGACGTAATAACATCTCTTTTAACCGTTTTGACCTTGATATACAGGGTCAAAACTCGCCTCCTAAATGACCCAAATTGTGCCAATGGGAGCGCGAAAACACCATTCAACGTATTTTATTTTTACAAACAGCTAAGTAGGTCAAGCTGTAACTGTAACGGAACGGAATATAGTATTTTGTTCACGGGAACATTAAGTTTACTATGCAAATGGGTTTTACACCAGATTACTGTTTCGCATGGGGCATATGTATCATTAGTATCAACATTTGTACTGTACGCTTTCTAAATTTGAACTAAATCAGGGCTCAAGAACGAGACAAATTGAATTGGTTCTCCAACTCAACGGCTATTAAACAGTATGCTGTTTTAACACTTACTGCTGTCAACGGGCTAAGATTTCCCCAAAATAAATTGAATATTTATCCCGGAAATTTCGCACTGTGAGTATTTGCAAAGAACACGCTAAATACTAGTATAACACTCTACAAAATATGGTACTCTTGAGCAAAATACTCACTAAACACTCTCCAAAACTGCAGGGGCTCCTGTGCAAAAAACACTCGTTTAACACTACAAAGCTACTATACTCACTCCTGATCGATTGATTTTTCGCGTGTATTTATTCAACACAAATGAGAATTCAGATTATTATTTTTTTAAACTGTTAATCGTAAAAAAAGCTCTGCTACTGCTAGTTTGGCCCGGCCCCCATTAAGTTGAAAGGTCCACACATATTCCGTTCACCTCTTTGGTTCAATGCTCGTAAACACACCAGCCTCAAGCTTCTCCTGTCATTGCCATAATATAGGAATCAGATCGATGGAACTGTATGCAGGGTTGGCCAAGTATTTAATGCGGGGCCCCGTTTTTTTAAATCAATGAGAAAAGGATAACTTTATAAAACGGGCTTTTGTGTGTTTGTGTGTGTGCGTGTGTGTGCACATGCCTGAGTCTCTCTCTCTCTCTCTCTCTCTCTCTCTCTCTCTCTCTCTCTCTCTCTCTCTCTCTCTCTCTCTCTCT